GTCACAACATCTGCTCGTGTAGCAGTGAGTGGACACACAACAGCCCAGTGACGCTTATCTTGTTTCTGCTTACATCATGACCTGCTCACAGCTGTGTCAGGCCAAACGGAAGTGACCCTGAGTAATCACTGAGCCCGTGTACTAACAGATGAACTGTGTTTGTGTTTTCTGCATCTCTTTCAGACATTTACAGCTCCATTTGTTTACTGTCTCGAGCCAGTTTTCAGCAATTCCACCATACAGTCCGTCCTGGCCTCCATTGGTTATGTGCCTCATACAGACCCCAAACTATGGTAAGAACCAGAGTGACAGCAGACTGTAGACGTGAATCCACGAGGAACGGTCGCAGCTTTGCACAGCTTTGTCAGGACAAACGTAGACTCTTTAGGGTGGCTGTGGCTCAGGAGGTAGAGCGGCTCCCAAAGCGATGTGTGTGTGAATATTACACTGGTGCTCAGGTCTGAATGTGTGACCGAGTGAGCAGTTTGAGTGCTCAGAATAGAAAAGTTCATTCACCATTTTAATTCCACACGTCGACACGTAACAAGCCGACACCTGGTGACACAACGTGTGTACAAAGCATTCCAAAAATTCCCCCAGGAATGTTTTCATGTCTTATCCTTTCAAGACACTCAGCTTGTTCATATATCACATAAAGCGAATGGATGGATTTTTATTAACTTGCAGCACACCTTGGTCAGCCGAGGTTCTTTGACTTGACTTTCATAGGATCACTTTTCTTACAAAGGTTCCTGAGACCAAGTACAAACCCGAGTTCAGATTTTACACACTCTCTGTACCTAAGTGCTTTCTATCTCAGATTTGCACTCTGATGGATGCATCAGAGCCCAACCTGCAGTATCTTGCCCAAGAATAATCGGCATGCAGACGGGGATCAAGCTTCCGATTAGCAGACAAGCCGCTCTACCCGCAGAGCTGCAGCCGCCCCGGTCGTCTGTGGTTCTGCTCCTCATCACTTTGTCTCTGTTGTGTTTGATGCATTTCAGCGAGTACAGGCTCAGTGAGGACGTTAATGCAGACAAAGCCATGCTCGTTGGCTTTGAGCTGCTCTTGGCCAGAGTGGAATGTAACCACTTCCTGGAGCTTCAGGAGGATCAACTGAGACCACAGGTACGACCATGTTTCATGTTAGTAATAGTCTCATCAGTTGTGTTACAGTATATCACATCAATTGTTTTTTGTTTTTTT